TATATTGTGAATTTTATTAGATAAATAAACAATCTTTTAGGTGAAATCTTTTATCATTTTTTTAAAATTATCTATTTATTAATAAATGAGGTGGATTTTATGAAACTTTTTTGATGTTATTTTATATGATATTTTTAAGGATAATATTTTAATGTGACAATTGTCATAATCGTTCTTTTATAAGTTTTTTGAATTTTTTTGAAGAAAATAGGTTAAAATAAGTATTAATAACATGTGTAAATATAAATTTAGTGAAGATGTACCAAAGAAAAGTGACAATTGTTATAATCGCTATTTTTAAAGTTTTTTTAATTTTTTTGACGACAATATATTAAAATAAGTATTAATAACATGTTTAAATAAAAATTTAGTGAAGATGTACCATAGAAAATTGACAATTGTTATAATCGTTATTTTATAAGTTTTTTGAATTTTTTTGAAGAAAATATGTTAAAATAAGTATTAAAAACATGTTTAAATAAAAATTTAGTGAAGATGTACCATAGAAAAGTGACAATTGTCATAATCGTTATTTTATACGTTTTTTGAATTTTTTTGAAGAAAATAGGTTAAAATAAATATTAATAACATGTGTAAATATAAATTTAGTGAAGATGTACCAATGAAAAGTGACATTTGTCATAATCGTTATTTTATAAGTTTTTTGAATTTTTTTGAAGAAAATAGGTTAAAATAAGTATTAATAACATGTGTAAATATAAATTTAGTGAAGATGTACCAATGAAAAGTGACATTTGTCATAATCGTTATTTTTAAAGTTTTTGAATTTTTTTGTAGAAAATATGTTAAAATAAGTAGTAAAAACATGTTTAAATAAAAATTTAGTGAAGATGTACAATAGAAAAGTGACAATTATCATAATCGTTATTATATAAGTTTTTGGAATTTTTTTGAAAAAAATATGTTAAAATAAGTATTAAAAACATGTTTAAATAAAAATTTAGTGAAGATGTACCATAGAAAAGTGACAATTGTCATAATCGTTATTTTATAAGTTTTTTGAATTTTTTTGAAGAAAATATGTTAAAATAAGTATTGATAATATGTTTAAATAAAATTTAGTGAAGATGTACCATAGAAAATTGACATTGTCATAATGGTTATTTTTAAAGTTTTTTGAATTTTTTGACGAAAATGTTAAAATAAGTATTAATAACATGTGTAAATATAGATTTAGTGAAGACAATGAAAAGTGACAATTGTCATAATCGTTATTTTTAAAGATTTTTGAATTTTTTTGACGAAAATATGTTAAAATAAGTATTAATAACATGTGTAAATATAAATTTAGTAAAGATGTACTCTAGATAAGCAACAATTGTCATAATCATTATTTTTTTAATTTTTTGATTTTTGTTGATAAAATAATAACATGTTTAAATAAAAATTTAGTGAAGATGTACTATAGAAAAGTGACAATTGTCATAATCGTTATTTTTTAAATTTCTTTGATGAAAATGGGTAAAAATATAGATTGTAAAATTAAAATTGCCTGAATATATGCCATAGAAAAACATATGGTAATAATAGATTCTTTCCCAAAAACAGGAGCAAATTGGCATTTTATTACATTTGTTCTTCGGGTCAGAAATTAATATGCAAAATTTATATCATAATATCTAATCCTAAGTTAGAAATTATTATTTTTTTACCAATTTTCATCAGACAATCTTGTTTAAAATTTGGGTGAACTTTTTTTCTATTTTAAAATCAATATCGATGCAAGTTAATTATTTTCGTCAAAAAAAATCAAAAAACTTTTAAAATAACGATTATGACAATTGTCGCTTATCTAGAGTACATCTTCACTAAATTTTTTTTTAAACATGTTATCAATACTTATTTTAAAATATCTTTGTCAATAAAATTCAAAAACTTTAAAAATAACGATTATGACAATTGTCACTTTTCATTGGTACATCTTTACTAAATTTATATTTACACATGTTATTAATACTTATTTTAACATATTTTCGTCAAAAAAATTCAAAAAATTTAAAGATAACGATTATGACAATTGTCACTTTTCTATGGTATATCTTCACTAAATTTTTATTTAAACATGTTTTTAATATTTATTTTAACATATTTTCTTCAAAAAAATTCAAAAAACTTTAAAAATAACAATTATGACAAATGTCACTTTTCATTGGTACATCTTCACTAAATTTACATTTACACATGTTATTAATACTTATTTTAACAAATTTTCGTCAAAAAAATTCAAAAAACTTTAAAATTAACCATTATGACAATTGTCACTTTTCTTTGGTAAATCTTCACTAAATTTATATTTACACATATTATTAATTCTTATTTTAACATATTTTCGTCAAAAAAATTCGAAAAACTTTAAAAATAACGATTATGACAATTGTCACTTTTCATTGGTACATCTTCACTAAATTTGTATTTACACATGTTATTAATACTTATTTTAACATACTTTCTTCAAAAAAATTCAAAAAACTTATAAAAGAACGATTATGACAATTGTCACATTAAAATATTATCCTTAAAAAGATCATATAAAATAACATCAAAAAAGTTTCATAAAATCCACCTCATTTAATAATAAATAGATAATTTTAAAAAAATGATAAAAGATTTCACCTAAAAGATTGTTTATTTATCTAATAAAATTTACAATATAATTCCTCAATAAATGTATTTACAAAGAAGATTGTGAAAATCACTAATAAATTATATTTAAAGAATATTACATTTTTACAATATAGCAGCATATTATTTTTTTTATTAAAAAAACATCAAATAAATAAATTTATTTTCATTTCAAAATATAATAAAATAAATAAAAAATATTAAATCATATCATGTTTATTTGTTGATTATAATAAAATATTTACATTAAATATAAATAAAATATATTTTACTAAAATAAATAAATAATAATTAATGCTAAGCATCAATGCAGAATTTTGACTAATTTATTTTAGCCAATTTTTAGGCTTAGCCCATTTTTAGGCTTAGCCGATTTTTAGGCTTAGCCAATTTTTAGGCTTAGCCGATTTTTAGGCTTAGCCAATTTTTAGGCTTAGCCTAATTAGGTTTAGCCGATTTTTAGGCTTAGCCTAATTTGGTTTAGCAGATTTTTAGGCCTAGCCTAATTAGGCTTAGCCGATTTTTAGGCTATACCTAATTAGGCTTAGCCGATTTTTCCACCTAAAATCTCGGCTAAGCCGTTTTTAGTCGGCTAAAATTAGCCGATTACGCAACACTAGACATTAGTTTTATGCCCCTGTAATTTTGACAATTGTTTGGATCCCCTTTATTTTTGAAGATAGGAACTAGATAGCTCTGCGGTCTATATGAAACCCACTATTATATAAATGCTAATTTTATATCTGTGTTCTTTATTTAGATAACTCTAATAACATTGATATTATATCCCGTATGTAGTGTTGTTAAACGGCTCTTTTTGAGCCGATTTTTAAAAACGACTAACTCAATATTTCATCCTGAATAATATTAAGCAAGACTGAAGATTTTGTTTGTAGAAGGAACAAAGGTTTGAACATCTATTAGCAAAACCTCAAGGCTTAGGCAATATTTTTCTGGTTAAAATATTGAGTTAGCCGTTTTTAAAAATCGGCTCAAAACGAGCTGTTTAACAACAACCCCTATGGATCCACTTGACTATTGGAGTTTGTCAAAACTTACATGTAAATTTTTGGTGCCTCCTGCAACAAGTGTCCCATCTGAGTCTGCTTTCAGTACAGGGGATATAGATAGTCCACATCGTAGAAGCTTATTGCCAGAAAATCTAGAGGCTCTCATATTTATTAAAAAAATCAAATATATTATAATTATATAAAATATTACAAATTATATTTTATGCCAATATATATATAATTTAAAAATAAAATGGGTATATTATCAAATATATATTTTTTTATCTATTATAATATATTAAATTATAGTCATATATATCAATAAAAAAATTAAAATTAAATTATTCATTTTTTATATATTGGTTCAAATTGGGGTAATAAAAAATCAAAATAAATATTGGATCTGTATCAGATTGGTTTCGAATTACACCGATATCAGAAAACATCGTATCAGATCGGTACAGCCATACTTATTTTACAAAAGTTTCAAGGTAATCCTGGTAAATATTTTCTAAAATAAAATTCCTTGGGCCAACTATTATCACAAAATCTTATACTTGCATTAGATTAATAGAAGGGAAAAAATGGTGGTATCATATATACACCAATTTTATTAATGTTGCATTAATAAATTTGTGGAAACTGGATTGAATCAAGAGTTTACTTGCTTTGAAGCAAGAAGTTACTAATTATCTCCTCTGAAAATCAGTGAAAATTGAAAAAAAAATTAAGGCACATAAACCTCTTTACATTGAGGATTGAAAACCCCACTAATTCATCTGGACATTATTTATATAAAATTACAGATGGGAAAATATATAGATGCAGATATTATCACAAGCATATAAGATATATATATGTCTAACATCTTAAATCACACTTCCTATTAAATGCTGTATTTTCATAAAATATAAATATTTTTTCATTTTCATTATGAATTGCAAAAATAAAGATCTTTATTATTTTTAAATCTTATAGTATTATACATAATTTTAGTTTTTCATACTCTTACTGGTTAATAATATAGATAAGCACCACATTAGATTTTGAATTATTTTTTAAATTTCATATTTGGGCTTTAATCAATATAATTTTAAAAATTGATTTTTATAAATCAGAAAAATTTTTGACCAGTAATGGGTTTAGCAATTGATCATAAATATATATAGTATGAACTAGTTAAAATCTGATTGAAGTAAAATATTTATTTTAATATATATATAATTTATTTATAAATAATATATTTGTTAACCCTGGCCAAACTGTATAATAAAATGCGTATAATAAGAATCTTAATAATAATAATGTCTGATAAAAAATATAATTAAGAATTATGAATAATCTTACCTCCCAAATACAATATAAAAATACAATTTTATATAAAGTTTACAATAGATTGTTCTTAGTTAGAATAGAATTGAGATCAAATATTTTGACATTGACATGATGTCGTTTAAATATATGATTATTAAATAATAGTTAAACTAAAAAAAGAACAATACTTTAGTAATAACCTATACAGATGATTGTGTCATAAATCTAAAGTGTATCAAAAGTTTTTATATTTTATATTGAAAATCATTTATTTTTAGACAAGAATATTTGCACAGTAGCTGATTATATGCAATAAAGAAATATTCAAAGAACCAGAAAGGCAGGTATTGGGGTTGATTATTTATTTGTTTGTTATTTTTGTAATAATATTATAATTTCTTATTCATAAATTAATAAAATGACTTTCTTTGATGGTATTTATAATATGAAATATTTATTTTATGATGAATTATCGTTAATGATTGTGAATATCATCATATAATAAAATTTTTATTCTTTATATTATTATTATTACAAATTGATTATTCATATTATTATAAATTACATTTTTTATTATCCATATTAAAATGAATTACATTTTTTTAACAATAAAAAAATGTTCCTTTTTTATCTTTTTTAAAAAATAAATAAATCATCAAATAACCAAATATATAAAAAGAAAAACTATATAGAAAGAAAATGTTCTTTTAAAATTGAATTTAACTTAATATCAATTGTCAAAATTAATTGATTTTAAAGTTATGAAACAAACATAATTGCAACGTTAAAATAAAACGTTAATATAAACTAAAAATAATCTAGCCGAAAGGGTAAAATAAAATAAAATTTTAAATCAACTTTATCACTTATTTAACATTCCACCCTCCAAAGAAATTCTTCTTATGTTTTCTTTGGATATGTTGAGTGGTAAACACCATCGACATTCATGATCGCCAAGCAATACGCACGCCACCCATGTTCATAATGCAGTCTTCTTTTAAACAGAACGAAGGCTTGGTAGAGCAAAGGCAGCCCTTAGATAACTTCTCAATAAGATTGCTTGTTCATGGTATCGGGCATCTATATTCCTTTCGAGCAAGGTTTACGTTGTCCTTTAGACAGCCACCCAATTTCTAAATGGTTGTATCGATCTTGGCACACGGAACTCTCCTTGAAGGTATGATCTTAGGTGCGGCATAGGGCTTCAGGTGAACTTTCTCTTATCTAACCATATTGGTAAATAATATATTGGCCGGTTAATACATAGTATATAGCCAGTTATATGATTGGACTACTTTTGATGCTATCGTTGCTAAATTATATAAGTATCAAAGGGATGACCAGATATGTCGAGTCTTTAAATTGACCTATTTAATCGAATTAAAACGGAACTTCTAAAAAAAATCCTCAAAAGTTGAGAATAAATTCTTAACGCTCAGAAAATATATTAAACCAGAATTATTTCTCAATGGTAAGAAATAAAACTGAATCTTAAAAAAATGGATTCAATATAAAAGATAATCGTTTATAAAAATATATGAAACAAGATATATTTTTTTCTTAATACCATTAAATATTCACTATTAATATTTATCGCGTTATTTCTCTGGTGCTTTTTCTAAAATTGACTTTACGTTAATAAATTCGCTATATGGTTTGCAAAGTGGTTTTCTCTATATTGTGTTCATGCTTTGAATTTAAGTCTTCTCTATAAAATTTGGCTATTTTATATTAACGATAAAAGTTTCGCTATTATGAACTCGAACTAAAGGGTTCTCGGTAAGGGTTTTGCTAAAAAAAATTCTCGATAGGGTCTTCGTTGTATAGCTTTTGGAAAGCAAATTCGCCACATAAGTTTCTAAGTAAAATCAATTCGCTTTAAGAAACTTTCTCAATAATAGTTCCGCAAAAATGTGTTTTGTAATAAAGGTTTTAACAGTCATAAATAGTTTGTTAAATTTTAAAATGTATTTTTGATTTTTTTTATGAAAATATATTACGATTTAATCTTGAGAGACTATTTTTATGCATGGAAATTTCAAAGATTTAATTATATATAAAAAAATGTTTTTGGATCAGTATGTTAAAATACTTTTATTCTCTCAAATAAATTCTTCTGTTCTGGCATTCCTTTGTCCATGTCCACTTTGACGGCATTTTTAATAACTGATATACATTGATTTAACCTTGTTTGCGAAGTTTCTTAAGATGCTGGAAATTCTTACAGCAGTTTTACATTTCTTGCTTTCGGGACTTTTCCTATGATTACTATATTTAATTGCTGTTATCTTGATACCATATTATTTTAATATCTCGCCTTTAATTTTAGTGCATGCGTCTCGAGGACCGTTATACGTGGACGGGATATTTCCACATCAATTCCCAAATTTTTCGTTCAAATAATTTTTTTATTAATGTTATATTTAGTCTTTTAAATATATATATTCATAGTCATATTAATTTTAAATGAAATATATAAGAATAAACATTTTTTTATACATTCGTAGTAGAGGGCATATTATTAAATCACGATGTTATATTTCAAATGTAATATCAACTAAATATAAGAACAGGAACATTTGTATAGAATTAATTTTTGCTCATTTTCAATTTTCCTATTCTTTTTCTGTGAAAGTTTTCATAAAATTTATTCAGTCCCAGAAATTGCACTACTTTATGCAATTCTATCATACCCAAAGGAATTGAAACGTGCATAGTGTATTTTCACAAATATATAGATTCCATACATGATGTCTGTAAAATTTTATTATAGAGGGTGGTATTTCTACAAAGTTCGTTTCAGGTTTCATTTTTTGGGCAATAAGAAGGAGTTTAATTTATGTTTTTAGTTTAAATGTATTCGCTATTAATAATCACTCTAGTTTGCTTGACCTATTCTTAGTAATTGTTTGTAGATGGGATGATCGTATATATATATATTGTTACTGTTAGCTTGTATGTTAACTCTTAATACCATACATATTTTTATGCCATGCATAGGCAACTGAGTCTTTTATAATGCAGAATATAATATGGCTGAAGAGAAACTTGTTGGGTTTTATGGTCTTCAACTAAAGATCAATTTTTAGGCATGAAATTTGATTTAGGACATGTATAGGTGGAATCGGCTCGATAAAACACATATAAAACTTGCGTTAAAACATGTATGGTACCCAATAGTAATTAATGATATTAAAAAATTTGTAGAAAAATGTAGTATGTGTCAAAGTTATGGAAATTTTCTAACTAGTCCGACATAGCCAAGTGAGGGAAAACCATGGATACGACTATATTTAGATTTTGTAGGCCCTTTTTAAGGAAAATTTTGGTTAATAATTACATAAAGTAAGCAACTCAACAAATAATACTGGAACTATAATATACTTAAATAAATTATTTGGAAGATTTAGAAACCCAAAATTAATTCTGATGGATAAAGAAAAAATATTTTTAAAGAATTTTGTAAAAACGTACTTATCAAACATATTTTGATTCTCCATTTAACCTAAGATCGAACGGAGAAGATGAGAGGTTTGTGCAAACGTTTAAAAATTTTCTTAATAAATTTCTATTTGCCTACAAAAATACTCCACATATATTCACAAAATTTTAGCCCAAATCACATAAATATTAAAATATATACCACAGGCCCGTTAAATAAACTTAAACCCAATATATCGAGAAGAAGAAGGAAGTAGATTATGTGGAAAATACCAAAGTTTTGAAATACAGGAAATTCTATGGGCCCGATATTTTTTAAAAGATCCATTGTGGATATCATCACAAGTGAGTAAACAAATAGTTCTGATGTTGGTATTTGGGAAAGACACTCTCATTATTTAAAAAGCAGAGTTAATAACAACATTGACATTTTAACTATGATAATGAAACCAGTAGATTCGGCTAATTAGGAATTATTAAAAACCCCAATAGTTTAGAAACTAAGAACATAAACATAATGAACCCAATATGATAACAACAGCCACAATACACACGACGGCGAAACCTTTATCTGTCAGGACACCAATGGTGAATCCAGAAATATTGGAAGAGCGATATCCTTCTCGGGTTGTTAAACTCCCAGAGTTGAATCAAAGTTATTGGGTAGAAAAGTGTTGTGGTTATATTTCAGTGTTTTAATTCATATCAATTTATTTGTTTTAATTTTAAATATAAATTGTTTATATTATTTTTATATTATTATCCAGCGGTTAATTTTAAATTTTAATTGATTTTCGAAAAAGTTATATATAGTTGATAATTTTAATAATAATAGATATTAAATAGTTCAATTTATTTACAAAATCTATTTTGCTACTTTTTAATAAATATATTGGAGACCCGCAAAATAGGTAGTATGTGGGGTGAAAACCCCTATATTATTTTTCAGTTGAATCCCCTAGGCTAGTAACATCCCTGGAAGAGCATAGGTTGCAAGTCCAATGGTGGGTTGAGTGGAAATTTCAATAGAAACTAGTAGATAGTCAAAAATGACGGGGAATGAGAATTTTCTTCGTTTTTTTACGAAAGATATTACCTTTTATTTAAAAACCATAATTTTTATACTTTTTACCTCCCCCTTCAGGTCAAGTCCAACCCATTAATACTAACACTAAGAGTGAATACTATTTATTGATTGAAAATATATTTAAATTAGCTTTCAACACAGATAAAAATTATTTGTTAAAATATTATTGATTACCTATGGCTAATATTTAATATTATAAAATCCCAATCCAGGTCGAAGCCCACAATATTTTTGAAAAATTTCTCTAAACCCGGGTCAAGACCATAATAATTTTGTAGTTCAGAACTAAAATAAAATTTAAAAAAAATTGTAATGCATTAATCAGAGATACTCATGGTCCTTTTTTTTGATCAGGCCCGGCCCACTGGGGAAAATTTCTTTAACCAATGTCTGGCTCATATTATATATTAAAAAATTACCAAGCCTCCAAGACCTAAATAATTTTGAAAAATATTTAATTTTAAAATTTCTCAAACCTGGTCCAACCTATAAAAATTTTTAAAAAAATTTCCAAGCCAGGCACATAATAATTTATAAAAAATTTTCCCAAGCCAGGTCCAAGCCCATATTAATTTTGAGGA